ACTAGGGGATTTTTTCAGAAGACGGTACAAACGAATCCTTTGAGGTAGAAACGAAAGTGAAGGTGGTACAAACCTCTACAGACATCTTTTTTTATGATGGCGTTAAAAGAAAGAAAAAATGTACAAAAACGGGTACAAGCGAAGCCGAATACAATATATTTGAAAGAAATAAAATTTTTGAAAGTCGGGTGCCAGGTTCAGGTTCGGGACTTATGAGGTGTCCCGCTGACACAGATGCATTCTCATCCATGTAACTATTTGCGATTCTATGGGTAAGTTACATTTAAATTTGTTAATTATTGAATTTAAATTTTTATTCGTTGAAAGGAAAAGTTATTTAATTTTTTGAAAATGAGAATTTGTTCCTTTTCATTATCATAATATCTAACGAGAATAATTTTCCATATTTTATCTATTATTTCTTTGCGATAACAAATAAACGTATCGAATAAATTCGATTTATTCTGCTTACGTGAGTGAGAACTAATTTCTTTATTTCTTATCTATTACTGAATGATAATTCAACAATAGTTCAGATTTTTTTATTCCCTATGCGGTGTAACTTTCATCTAACAGCTTCCTATTATACCGATGATATACCGACGCAGTATCGATGCGCTTGTTCACGATCACGATGGACCGTCATTTTCGAAGCTGTCGTCCTCGCATCTGAGCGCGCAAAATATTCGCGCTATGATTGGTCCATGCATTTCCTTAATAATTCAAAAACGAAGCTTCAAATCCTATTTTTGCAAAGAAAAAGCTTGTTTAGAATGACATCCTCTACCACCCCTTTCAGGCAATAACATTAGTTACGAGACACTCTGTAGAAATCTAACATACATGTTATGTTGTCGTGTTGGTCCTTCCCTTGTAGCATTACTACAAAAGGAATAAACAAAAGAGGTTAAAAAATATAGCAGTTATTTTGAGCACTAATAGATATATTTAGAATAACATGAAGTAATTATGACACGGAGTAACAGACAACAAAGTTATATATAATAAAACAATAACAAATAACAACGATATGTCTCTACAAAAATGTGAAGTATAACTATTTTTAAAAAAGGCGCGATGCGAATGCTATGATGGTCAGAACGTTTCTGCTGAATTTTCCATCGGCTCTTCGCACGAAGGAAAATAGGCACATGGCCCTAAAGGGCAAACAGGGGCCTACGCGTAAAAACGCTCAAAAGGCAAACAAGGGCCTACGCGTACAAACGCTCGAGTAAGCCTAGGTCTTCAAGGACCTCCAAAACTTTCTACACGATTTATGGCTTTACTGCCACACATAAAAGATTGGTTTTTATGTGGAAATAGTTATGATATATCGAAAGGAAAGTTATTTAAAGTGCAGAGAAGCGAATATGTACTTTTTATGTGCTACCTAAGTTGAAGTGAGATTCACACTGTACAATGCACAGGATCAATGAATTCGTGTTTACGTATAAGGTAGTACTCTATTTATGATTTTCCAAGTTTTTATTTGCATTGATTAAAAGATAACTACGTGAGTAAGAATATGTTGTCAACAAAGCTTTCCCTTTAAGTCCAAAAACTGACTTGACCGTTTGGCAACAAACCTTTTTTTTACGAGGGGGAAATGTTCCAAAGATTCCTCCTCCAGGGGCACAAGGTTATGCCGGATTCTTATCGGCTAAATCCCCCACGGTGGTTCTTCCCCGGGGCATGAACGCACCCCAGGAACTCTTGAAGAACATGACTGGGGTCTCCGCGCTATTGAATGTCATCCGGGGGGAAGTCTTTTCGACCTGCCGTTTGCCCGCCGGCACTGATAAAGCGGCCTGGAAGGCCGGTGGACTTATGATAGAATCAAGGTATCGCTGGCCTGCTACCTTCATCTCGGAGAGTCTGGTTGTGGCCCACAGCGGCCCTGACTGCTCCCCCCATCTATAAGTCAACAGCGCGGGGTGTTGTCGCTTCTTTAGCTCTTCTACGCGGGTCCGCCCATTCATGGACCCGCTCTGCGGCCTTCTGCAGCATAACTTGCTTGTAGAAGAACACACCCCGTCCCAGGCTTGTCAACAAACTTAACCTAACCTAATATGACCAGTTTAAGTAATTTATGTAACCTATGTTTTTCAATCTTCCTTTATATATAACTTTTTCATAAAGAGTGACTGTTTGCTGCAACCTTCTGAAGTTGACAGCATATGTATGTACATATTTGTCTCTATCTTCAACGTAAATCAGAAATACAGTTTAGAATTTACTTATAAGATGCAAAATTTTGCAAGGGATCGTCTAATTTTCTGTTACAGAAAGTATCGATGTTACATAAGGATTTATCAAATGATTGTCACGTTTTGGATCATTTTTTCAACCATTCTCACTACATACAGTGAATCGAATACATATCCATGCTTACCAGTGGATGAAGCAGTTTGGAACTGTCCCACAGGAAACAACTCAGGCTTCCTTGTCGAAATCATTGAATATACCAGTATTCATGTAAACATAAGTATAAATACTAAATTATACACTTTCGCAAAATTGTACATTAAGTAGTGAAAAATTTCAATTCTTGAATCGATACAGTAATAAGGAAGAGAAATGGAGGTTCTGTCAGGGTTGAGATTACTTTAACGAAAAAAAGTCTCCAAATTTAACAAGTTCATTTAAACATTCTACAATAGTAGGGTTCGAAATACCAATATCACTGACACGTGGTTTTGGATGCATGTAGAAGTATATTTCCGAAATACTGACAACAAAACAGCTCTATTACTAGATTCTTGGAGTGGGTATTGTATCGCTTGCATTGAAAAAGGTATCCCGATAAATAAAAAAGATAACAATATTTACGATTCCTGTAGCGATTACAGAGTATTTATAGCCATTAGACGTGTATGGATTTTGTTTGTGGAATAAGTTTGTTCATTGTTTTTCGTATACAGGATGTCATAGCTAGTGTAGGTCCCGAAAATGGGGGGTAGCTAACGTGATTCTGAACAAGATTTCACTTTGCAAAAGTGGGGTTTGAAGCTTCGTTTTTGTGTTATTTATGGAAAAACACGAACCAATCAGAGCGCAAGGTGGGAACAGCTCGAAGTGAAGTTTTCGTATGATGATTCTCCTTCGCATTGGCCTTGAGTTTCGGAAAGTTCTAGCGCGCTACCAAATAAGAAGGATTTGATAGGCAACAAAGCTGGACTCTCGCTTTGCGGAAATCGCGAACTACGCTTAAATGTGCAGCACCAACATAAAGATAGACACACAGCTTACGTAACAGCTTCCGTATATCAGAGTAGTCGGTATTTCACTATGCAAAGTTTTATTCAAACCAGAATATAACGTATGACAACCTTTCGTTCCAATCCTGACAGAATCCGTGTTTCATCATATATTTCTATAATACTTATAATAACACTATTCAATTCAAATTACTAAGATTAATACACTGTTCAGTTCAAATTACTAAGATAATATTATCCGTTTCAATAAAAAAACATTCTCAATTATTTAGATTAAATGTCAAAATTATCCGCAATGGCCTCCATTTTACTTGTTCAACTTATTCCTGAAGGAGCACATAAAGTCCATGGATATATCGGAATGTGGTCTGCCAATGAACTCGAGCATAAGTGAAATTTCGAGTACATTCAACGGACAGAATATCTATGAGTTACAGCTGCATAATTGGAGCGGTGCCATCGTCAGAAACCATTTGAAAGGGTTTCCAAACTTGCAAAGGTTTACGTTATCAAGCAGCAATCTTACAAATTTGAGCACCGACATATTCGCAGATGTACCATATCTTTTTCTGCTTTATTTGAAACATAATAAAGCCTGTTTACCTGTGGGAATCTTTAATAATACACCAGATCTCCAAATACTTGTCTTGAGTGGTAGCATGATGAATCACCTCGAGCCGGGCATATTTGATCCGCTGACGAAATTGCGCTCGTTAAGCTTGCAGATAAACAATTTCACAGATAAACAATTGAAACCTGGGTTATTTTATAATCTCACGTCTTTGACGAGTCTGGAGATGAGTTCGAGTAATCTAATCACTTTGCCGGAGAACATTTTCGCAAAACTGGAAAGTTTAACATGGTAACACTTTGCCGGAGAACATTTTCGCAAAACTGGAAAGTCTACAATGGCTAAAGTTAAGGAATAACAGTTTTATCTCGTTTCCAGAAGGTATACTAAAGCATAATTCTCATCTAATGACCATTGATTTGTCGCATAATACCAGAAAAATATCTCTGCCTCGAAAGTTTTTCGCAAATTTGATACGTATGAAGGCTATACGTGAGAGATATACGTTTGAATCACAATAGTTGGAGCACAATACCTGAAGACCTGTTTTGGGGCTTAATATCATTAGATTATATTGATCTAGCAAAAAATTATTTTGAGACGCTACCTAAACGTATTTTTGAAGGACTACAGCAACTGTCTTACCTAAGCCTAAATTCCAATAAATTAATTAGACTACCAAGTAGAATTTTTTCAGATGCGACTAACTTAAGACTCCTGAATTTGTCAGAGAATTGTCTTACTTCGATATCCAGGTAAGTTTATGATCGTACGTTTACTTATCATTTCTAATGCTTATTTCAACTGGTTTTTGGAAGACATATGAATCGGTTAAAAGTACAATATGGAATTTTAACACATTAAATTAGTTAAAGCTAATGTTTTTGATATTATAATTTTGAATTACCAGTAAGATGAAATTCCTTATTGTACGTCGAATGTCTCTTGTGCATGCGTATTGCCGACCTGTATAGTGTTTATAGACTGAGGAGATGTACATGAATGAACAACACAGTGTAGTGGCGAAAGACTTTATTAATAACAAAGGCGCGATGTGTTCACTTTGGAGGTCGAGACGAGAATGTCGACAGAAATACATTTTTTCATGGGAGAGAAAACTCTCTCCTTTTTTGGGAAGTCCCGAGTGGAAAGGGGCGAAGGCCTCTTAGACCCGCCGAGCCAGCGCAAAACTACACTACTCAAAAAAATTAAGGGAACAAAAAAATTCCTTAAATTTTTAGGTCATTTTCAAATTGCTCTACCTCCGTTGAAATTCATCACAGAAGACATCCAGAATAGTCATTTTAAAGCTTCAGGTCTCTAGTTTTCGACCCTTTATCTCAAAAATATTTTGAGCCAATTATCATTAACAAAATATACAAAAAATCGCGATGAAAAAATTTTAGAATTTTTTTTCTTTTTTTTAAGGTTTGTAAAAACATAGAAAAATTTTTTTGATTAATGCCACTTCTAGGTTGCTGTTCCTTGTTCCTTCCCCTATAATTTGCTGTTCCCTGTTCCTTCCCCTATAATTTGCACGTCCATGAAGTTCGTTTCGACGATCGGTCGCAAAGTTATGAGCTACCAAAGCCAAAATGACGCTTTTTCCTTTGATAGTCATTATCTCATGAACCCAATATCGAACAAAAATTGTAAATACGGTTTCAGAAAGCGGAGAATGCACCCTTTAAGATGGCTATATCAGTTTTTGATTAGATGTTTTTTTTTTATGCTTAATATTGATGTAAAAAAACGTCAAAAAACGGCGTTTTTTCCTTAAATTACAAAAGTTACGATATCTTTGTAAATAAGTATTGTAATGATTATGCCTAAGGCGCGAAAAGGCGAAAAGGCGCTTCTTCGAATTTGGAACCAAATTCCCCAAGCCATGATACGGCGTTGCATTAATATGCGTGAACGTTTGCAAGATGTAATTAACAACCGTGGTGGTAATACTCCATATTAAATTTACAAGCCCTCGAATTTTTATTCAAACAACAAAATTACACTCACCCGCGCAGACATTGCTGCAGGCGCGCATATCTGTGCGCGCCCACGTTCATATACCTGCATATACACGGCACATATACACACGAACTTATACACACAAGAGGAAGCGTAAATCCGATCTTCTCAGACAGAAGCAGTCTTTAAAAATTCAGCAATAGTACCGGTAAATGTAGAGAAACAAACTTTTTTACCCAACAAACGGATTAGTCGCGGATAGGAGCAATAATGACGTTTCCTTAACACTTTTCGTTCAAGTTTCAAAGTTTGATCCATCTTTTCATAGGGAACAAAGAATCGGAGCCATTTGAAACTTGGCACACATTTTGTGGACAATATGAGCTTAAAAAAAAACGTAGGCATAATCATTACAATACTTATTTACAAAGATATCGTAACTTTTGTAATTTAAGGAAAAAACGCCGTTTTTTGACGTTTTTTTACATCAATATTTGTAACGAGGCATATTTTCATTTGGTTGATTACCTTCTTTTTTTAACCGACTTCGAAAAAGGAGGAGGTTACTCAATTCGATCAGTATA